GATAGATAGCATATATATATATATATATATATATATATAATACATTTCACTTTTCACATTACTTTTTTTTTTGGTCTTTTTGAGACAGAGTCTCCCTGTAGCCCCAGCTGTCCTGGAACTCACTATGTAGACCAGGCTGGCCTTGAACTCACAGAGATCCACCTGCCTCTGCCTCCTGAGTGCTGGGATTAAAGGTGTGTGCCACCACGCCCGGCTCACATTACTTATTTTTATTTTATGTGCATGTTTTTTCTATTTTTATTGAATTTTTGCAAATTTCATACAATATATTTTGATCATATTTAGACCACCTCCCCTCTCTGCACTCCTCTTATTACAGCTCCCCACTTGCTGGATTTCTTGTTCTCTCTTGTATATTAAGATGTACCTTATGCTTTTTAATGGGTACAGAGAATTTCATGATTTGAACCAAACAATTTTTTTTCAATTACTAGCTCAATACTGATGGGCATTTAAATTCTTTTATTACTATTATTATTATTTTTGTCTTTTTTGAGACAGGGTCTCCCTGTAGCTTCAGCTGGCCTGGAACTCACCATGTAAACCAGACTGGCCTTGAAATCACAGAGATCTGCCTGCCTCTGCCTCCTGAGTGCTGGGATTAAAGGCATATGCCACTATACCTGGCTTTGTTTGCAATTATTTTTATTATAAGCTGTGATGCAACAAAAATTTTGTTACTTAAATTTTAGGGTAATTTTTGAAGGATTTCTTTAAAATAAGATAAATTCAGTGAAGTATAAGAAGGCTGAATATCATAGTATTCACACAATATTTTGATAGAAACTGAGAAATTGTTCATCAACTGCTCATCATTGTTTTTAATATATTTTATTGAATTTTTGTGATTTCATACAGTACATATTAATCATATTTAGACTCCCCTCCTTCCCTGTCTGCACTCCCTATAGCCCACCTACAGGATTTCATACATTTTGTCATATATGTTAAGGCCAATTGAGTCAAATTTCTGTACCCAGTTGTCCCTTGGTGTGAGTTCATCCACTGGCATATGGTCAGCCTATCTAGTGTCATTCCCTTAAAGAAGATCAACTCTCCCTCACTCAGCAGTAATCAGCTGCCAATAGTTCTGGCCAAATTTGTGACCTCCTGCCCATTTCCGAAGTTCTATGCTGGCTTTTGTCTGAGTTTGCATGGGTCTTATAAGAGATTAGAGTGTAGGTCCCAAGACAGGACTCCTTTATTAAACTTCACCCACCCAGGGCCCGGGAACCATTGCAGAAGAGGGGGTGGAAAGATTGTAAGAGCCAGGGGAAGGAGGTACATGACCATAAGAAACAGAGTCTTATAGACTCCTAGGACCTTGCTCATGTGAACTTACAGCAATCATCCAATGTTTTTTAAAACATTTAATTAAAAAATATTTGCTGAAGATCTATTTAAATATAACTCCCAGCATTTTACCCAGTTTTAAATATTATGAGTATTATCTTAACTGGACTGTTTTCAATATTCTTATTGATTCTTTGAAAATTTTGTGCAATGTATTTTGATCATATTCAGACCCACTCCCCCATTTCCACTCTGACCCTACTCTCCTCCTATGACTTCATATCCTCCATTATTATTTTATTTTTTAACCACTTAAGATTCTATATTTTATTTTTCTTTTTATTGAATTTTTGCAATTTTCATACAATATAATTTGATGATATTTAGATCCTCTCCCCTATCTTCATCTGTCCTTATTGCCCTCCACCCAATTTAATGTACTCTGTTATAGAGTCTGTATTGTATCTCCAAATGTCCTTCAGTGTGGTTCCATCCACTGGTGCCTTATATACCTGACAAGAGTCCCATGCTTGAAAGAAACTGTCTCTTCCCCTCCCATCAGCCATCTGTTGCCACAATTTCCCTAGATGGGGTTGGAGCTTCTCACCTACTTCATCATGTCTAGGTTGGGATATTTTTCTGGTTTGAGCTTGCATGGGACTTGAACTATCACTATTGCTGTGAGCTCATATGAGTAACTGACAAGTTGTCCAGAAAGCTCTGTTTCCTTGTGATTGTACACTACCTCTGACTCTTGCACACTGATCCCTGAACCTTGGGAGGCAGAAGTTTGATATAGGTGAGCTATTCAGGGATAAATGATCTCCAGCCTCTTGTTGTCTGCACACATTGGTCAGTTGTGGGTTTCTAGTATAATCACCATCTGTTGCATAAGGACACTTATCTGGTGAGAGATGAGAGATGCATTAATCTGAGTATAACAGTAAGTCATTAAGAGTCAGTTTAATACAATAACAATTTACTAGAAAACTAGTATTAGATTTTCCCCTATATCCGACCTGTTTAGTCTTAGATTTCTAAGCCTGATATCAATGTCAGGTATAGGCTCCATACCAGGAAGTGGACCTTAAGTCCAATTAAAGAGTGGTTGGTTACTCCCATAATGGTTGTGCCACTATTGCACTGGTGAGTATATATTGCCGGACCAGTTGCTGTGGTAGTTCACAGGATTTCAACTGGGTAAGAATGATGATGATTTTTTTTTTCCTTCTGGTAGCTTGCATTGCATTTTCCAGCACTATGAACACTAGCCAATAGAGATTATAATCTGAAGTCAGCACTAGTTTGATATCCCCTTGTTTGTTTCATAGTGCATGCATGTAGTATCTTCAGCAATAGGGTCTTACCATCCAGTTCTGGTGGTAACCAAGAGCAGGGGCAATTCCCTGTATTTTTTGAGGGTCTATGGGATCCCTAGTCAACAGCTTCTAGAGAGGGAGACCATTTCTGGCATTTACGGTTTTTTGTTTTATAGTCTATGATGTCTAGAAAGGGCATTGTCCCCCTGTTATAGGATAACTTTATAATCCCTTTTTAATATATAGAAATGGAGTCTATTCCTCGCATTGAAGTTTTGTTGTTGTTGTTAGACCTATGTCTAAATGAGGCAATGTCCCCTGTTAAAGGGTAACTTCTTTTAATCTCTCTTATATATATATATATATATATATATAAGCTTCTATAGTGGTGGGTTTCCATAGGGCTTTTGCTAAAGGCCTTTAGTGTTACTTATCTCTCCCTATATTCCCTCCTCTTCCCTACTCTCCCATTCTCCAGCCCTTTTAACCCTTCCTATCTAATGTTACCTTTTCCCCATCATATCAATATATTCTATCACCCCTCCCAGCAAACTTCGCCCACACCCACACATGGCTGTTTATTAATTACTTGAATTCTCTGAATTTTCAAAATGAAACATGGGTATCTAAGATTTCAAAGCTTGCATCCAGCTATGAGAGAAAACATGTAACATTTTTCTTTCTGACTATGGGTTATCTCACTCAGGAAGATTGTTTCCAGCTCTATCCATTTCCCTGCAAATTTCATAATTTCATTTTTAAGAGCTGAATATTTCA